CAATTCCTCCTCCTTCCCGCCCCTGCCCCCGCCCCCGCCCACGCCCGCGGGCCTGGCGGGCGGGGCGGGCCGCGCCCCCTACATCGCATTGCATTTTGCACCCGCGCCGTTGCATTGCATCGGCAGACGCTGCGTTGAACTGGGCGCGGCGCCGCCGCGTGTTCGGCGCGTCTCCGCCCGATGCGCGGCGCGCCGCGCCCCCGTTCCCGTTCCAGCGCCTGCTTTGCATCTCGTTTCGTCCACGCCGCCGACGCGGGCCCCGCCAGCGCCCCGACCCCTGCGCCCCGAATGCTTCTTCTCGCGCAGATGTTCCGCCTCCTGTCTCGGCCTTGCCCCGGGGCGACGCCGCTGGCCGCTCGGGGGCTCGCGCGACCCTGGCGACGACGGCAATGGAATTTCGGGGCGCTCGAAGCCCGCCGACGCACGGGGCGGCGCGCGGCGCGAAGCCAGGGCCGACGACGCGGGAAATATCTACATTTACGGCGGGTCTTGGGGACAACAACGGCCCTCATATCAGCGGGCCGAGCGCGGGGCACTCCACGACGCCGAAAACGATCCTTCCCGCGCGGCCGCGGAGCGCGAGCGGGGCGGCCTCGCGCGGCTCGCTCCGGGGCGAGCCGCCGTTCCCGAAGCGGTAGACCTCGCCCCCGGCCCCATCGGGGATCTGACCGGCGAGGCCCATCCTGGCGAGCTTGGTCCGGCATTGCGAGTGCCACTTGAACCCTGCGACGCAACGCAGGCAGGCGGCGTAGACCGCGCCGACCCCCTCGTCGCTCGGCTGCCCGCCGTCGCTGGCGGCGCTGATCGCGGGCAGGTCGGGCGCGCTCGGAGACTCGCGTCTCTGGCGGCGGGGCGACGGGCCCTTCGGGGCGCAGGGCCGCCCTCGGACTCGACGACCTGCTCGGCGATGTTCGCTTGGCGAGGATAGCAGCCTCTCCTATCGCCTCGCCCTCCACGCCTGGGCTCGTCCGCGGGGGCGCACATCCGGGCCCCCGGCGCAGGGCGCTCCACGTCGCCCGCCCAGCGCCCCCCAGCACTGCGAAGTTTCTTAGCGGTGGCCCGCGCAGCCCTGCAGGTTCTTAGCGGAACGCCGCTCGGGCGCAGACTTCCCACGGCCCTCGAGCCTCCCGGGCCCCCGGGGGTCGCGGCGAGTTCCGCCGCGGCTGCCCCGCCTTCGCCGAGTCGACGCTACCAGAGACTTCGCCGAGGTCGGTTCCTCAAGACTCCAGCTCGGCGCTAAAAGCCTCGAGACCCTTGCGGGCGATGTCCTGGACGTCGAACTCGGCGTCGAACTCGGCGTCGCCATCGTCCACGGCGTCGCGCTCGCCCTCGCCCTCGGGCTTGTCGACCACGCGGGCGGGGCGGGCGACGCGGGGCGGGCGCCGCCAGCCGCTGCTAAACCGCCGCGACCACGGGCGCGAAGGAACCGCCGCGCCGCGCTCGGACGCGCGGATGTGCTGGAGCGAGAAATGCTCGTCAGGGAGACTGCCGACGACGCGCCCCCGGCGCCCCGCCGCGAGCCCGGCCACGCGCGGCAGGAACCAACCTGCGACGTCGCCCAGCGAGTTGATGCCCATCTCATTCTCGCGCAACTGCCTGCTGGAGACCTGCCTCGAAATACACGAGCCAATCCGCCATCCGTTCGCCGCGCCCGCGGCGGCGCTGAGTCGACCCAAAACACTTCTCGAGCGCCCCGCGGGGCATTCCACGACGCCGAAGACGATCCTTCCCACGCGGCCGCGGAGCGCGAGCGGAGCGGCGTCGCGCGGCTCGCTCCGGGGCGAGCCGCCGTTCCCGAAGCGGTAGACCTCGTCCTCGGGCCCCATCGGGGATCTGATCGGCGAGGCCCATCTTGGCGAGCTTGGTCCGGCATTGTGAGCGCCACTTGAGCCCTGCGACGCAGCGCAGGCAGGCGGCGTCGACCGCGCCGACCCCCTCGTCGTTCAGCCCCCCGCCGTCGTTGGCGGCGCCGATCGCGGGCAGGTCGGGCGCGCTCGGAGACTCGCGTCTCTGGCGGCGGGGCGACGAGCCCTTCGGGGCGCGGGGCTGCCCCTTCGTCGCCGAACTCGACGACCTGCTCGGCGATGTTCGCTTGGCGAGGATAGCAGCCTCTCCTATCGCCTCGCCCTCCACGCCCGGGCTCGTCCGCGGGGGCGCACATCCGGGCCCCCGGCGCCAGGCGCTCCACGTCGCCCGCCCAGCGCCCCCCAGCACTGCGAAGTTTCTTAGCGGTGGCCCGCGCAGCCCTGCAGGTTCTCGGCGGAACGCCGCTCGGGCGGAGACTTCCCGCGGCCTTCGAGGGCCTCCCGGGCCCTCGGGGGCCGCGGCGAGTTCCGCCGCGGCTGCCCCGCCTTCGCCGAGTCGACGCCACCAAAGACTCGCCGAGGCCGGTTTTTCAAGACTCCAGCTCGGCGCTAAAAGCCTCGAGATCCTGGCGGGCGATGTCCTGGGCGTCGAACTCGGCGTCGCCATCGTCCACGGCGTCGCGCTCGCCCTCGCCCTCGGGCTTGTCGACCACGCGGGCGGGGCGGGCGCGACCGGGCGGGCGCCGCCAGCCGCTGCTAGGCCGCCGCGACCACAAGCGCGAAAGAACCGCCGCGCCGCGCTCGGACGCGCGGATGTCCGGGGACATGCACACCAGCAGGCCGAGGATGCGCTGGAGCGAGAAATGCTCGTCAGGGAGACTGCCGACGACGCGCTCCTGGCGCTCCGCCGCGAGCCCAGCCACGCGCGGCAGGAGCCAAGCTGCGACGTCGTCCAGCGAGTTGATGTCCATCTCATTCTCGCGCAACTGCTGGAGACCTGCCTCGAAATGCACTAGCCAATCCACCATCCGTTCACCGCGCCCGCGGCGGCGCTGAGTCGACCCGAAACACTTCTCGAGCGCCCCACCCCCCTCTTCTACACGGGGTGCTGTCGGTGCCAGTTGGCCTCGAGGTGACAGGGCACGTTCTCGACCCCCTTCTGGTTTCGATCGCGTTTATTGTCGGCTGCGTCCTCGAGCGCTGCCTACGGCAGCGGGCGCAGCTGATCTTCTGCCGCGTTGCGCCGTGCCCGCCAAACGCATAAGTAAGTTCGACGCGAGACTCTGGCGTTACCTCTAAGATCCCGCTGAACTCCCAGAGATTCACCTGGAATGGCGACCCAGCGGGGACGACTGACTGTGTATGCCTGAAACTGTTGTCTACCATGGCTAAACCGATGGGTGACTTACCGAAGTTGAAGATGCAGGCTGTGAAATGTAACCCGCTGGCCTTGGAATGGAAGGCATTGACCGTGAAGTCGGCCTCGCAGAGCTTGAAATTGAAGATGCTCGCGTCGCTGACGCTGGCTAAATTGTTGTAAATGCTGATGGCGTCGCTGACGTTGGCTTCGAACGTGTAAATGCTGCTGGCGTCGCAGACGCTGGCGGAGCACGTATAGATGCTGCTGGCGCCGCTGGCTTTGGCGGGGTACGTGCACTGCAGATGCGGCTAGCGTCGCTGGCGTTGGCAAGGCACTTGCGCTGGTCGATGCCAGCGTCGCAGACGCTGGCGGTGACCATGTAGATGCTGTTACTCACGTCGCTGACGTTGGAAGGGTACTTGTACTAGTAGATGTTGGCGTCGCATAGGTGCTGGCATCGCAGGTGCTGGCCGAATAGGTTGTGGCGTCGCAGGCGCTGACGGAGTAGGTGCTGGCGTCGCAGACGCTAGTGGAATCGGCCAGGGTGTGGAAGGGCGAGGATCGCCCGCATGACACCGCTGGGCGTCGATTCCGTGGTTCGCGACGGCGTCGTCGCGGTGATGGCGCGCGGCGCCAGGCAGCTTAGAGCCGTTCCAAGCTACCAGTGACATGGACAGGCGCGCAGCGCCAGGGACAGTTGTGCTGTGAGCGCGGCTCGGACAACTGGCGTAGCTCTAAGGCCCGGAGCCCTGAATCAGTGAACAAACATGATAGCGGAAAACCGGGGCGGAGGCAGCACACGCAGCGCGAGCAAAGAAGGAACGGGAGTTCAGGTCTTAGCAGGGCACGGCAAGGCCGCTAGGACACCTTTGGGGCTCCCGGGGGTGAGTTTGATTCACAGAACCCAATCAAAGCACGGCACGCCGGCACGGAACGGCACGCGATCACGGTACGTCACGGCGCATTTGACGCATTCAGGAACCTAGGCACGGCACGGCACGAAAAACAGGCACGGCACGGCACATGTTTCGCAATCTCGAATCCAGGCACGGCATGGCACACGGGCACGACCAAGCACGGCACGTGTACAGCACGGCGCGGCACAGTCTGGAACCCAAGCACGGCACGGCACATTTTGCACGTAAGCACTGCACGGCACGGCACAGGACGCAGGCACGGCATGGCATCGCACTGCACGCGGGAACGACACGGCACGGCACATTCTTGGGCATTCTAAAACCTTGGGGCGGCACGGCACATTGTTCGCACTCCCCTTCAGCACGGTTCGACGTGCAATTTGCAGGCCAGAGGTGTGCGTGTAACACACGGTTTGAGCTGCTGCTTGTGTCTGGCGGGCGACGAGGCGACTGGACGCGGGGACAGGACCAGGGGGGCTGCTTAGCCTGCCCGCCGCGCCTGAACGGCGATGGCGACGGCGACGACGACGACGACGACGAGGAGGACCTCCCATGGCTCGCGGAGAAGGAGCGATGTCCGGTGTCCTGCTTGCTCTTTGTCGCTGCTTGCTTCAAGAGGCCCTGTGAGGCCCGATGGCAGTGATAACGACCACGACGAGAACCTTGACGAAGCCTCAGATGAGGCGCACGGACCGCACTGCACGGCGTAGCACAGCACATCGCAAAGCAGAGCGCAGCACGGTATGGCACACAAACGCACAGCAGACTTGTCAGGAAAACGCCTGGCTCGAGTTGCTGAGCAAGTTCGTATCTTCATGTCCTGTGTTGATTTCGCTTACCCTCGTACATCCCTACTCCACTACCCCCTCCCGCACGATCAACTTCTCTTCTTCGTCCACCCGAAATTCGACTGGAGACCTTGGCGAGCTGCTTGGAACTCATGATGGCGAAGACCGTGAAGATACACATGATCTTCGTGAAGTTAACCTTGTTCGATCCTCCTGCTCAGCCTCGTCCACCCTTCCTCGTCTTCTCCATCTCCACCAACTCCTCCTCGTTCACACATCCTCCTAAGTGTAAACCATATTACCCCTCACTAACCATCCTCTCGTCCGCGTCTTCCCCCTCCTCCACCTCAACTTCCTCGTCCTCCTCCCCAAGCCCCTCCTACGTATCGTGTTCCGTCTCCGTCTCTTGCTCGTCCTCTTCCATCCTCTCCTGTTCGACCTCCTCCATTCTCCTCCCCCGTCCCCCTCCTCCTCCTCCTCCTCCTCCTCCTCCTGGCAGTCGTCGCGGCAGTCGTCATAGTCGCGGCCTTCGTCGTCCTCGTGGCCAACGTCGTCGTCGTCATCGTCATCATCATCATCATCATCATCATCATCATCAACATCATCATCATCCTCATCATCCTCATCATCATCATCATCAGCATCATCATCATCATCATCAGCATCATCATCATCATCATCATCATCATTTTCATCACCATCATCATAATCATCATCATCATCATCATCAGCAGCAGCATCACCAACAACAACAACAACAACAGTACCGGCATCACATCAGCATCAGCATCTACGGCATCATCAGTTACAGCACCATCGTCATCAGCATAAGCATCAACATCAACATCGGCGCCATCATCAACATCAACAGCATCATCAACATCAGCATCAGCATCCTCATCATCGGCAACAGCATCATCATCACCATCATCAGCATCATCTACATCATCATCAGCAGCAACATCATAATCAACATCAGTATCATCATCGACATCAACATGATAGTCCGTTCCGTCTTCATCGTTGTCGACAGCTTCTTCACCATCAGCACCATTAGCATCAGCATCGTAGTTATCGCCTTCAGCATCATCATACTCATGGACACCGTTATTCCCATCATCATCATCGCCAGCATCAGCATCGTCATCAACATAATCAGCAACATCAGCAGCTTTATCGCCGTCGTCGTCGTCGTCGCCGTCGTCGGCGGCATCGGCGTCATCATCATCGTCGTCATCGTCAGCGCCCTTGTCAGCGTCAGCGTCATCGTCATCATCACCATCCTCCTCATCATCAGCATCATCGTCAGCACCATCATTATCATCACCACCATCATCAGCAGCATCATCATCATCGTCGGCATCATCATCACCATCATCGTCATCGTCATCTTCATCAGTATCATCAATCCCATTTGCATCATCCTCATCAGCAGCAACATCATCACCATCAACATTAACATCATCACCAGGCATGATCATCATCATCATCACCAGCATCCTCATCATCATCCGCATCCCCCATCCCATCCTCCTCCTTCGCTTCCTTGGAAATGGGCAGCTACACAAAACTATAGGCCATGGCCAGGCCCGTCGCAACCCTCTGGCCCTCTCGTAAAATCGTGCCAGAAGTAGTTGTAAGTGTCGTTACCGTTTCGGACCCCCAGGACAAACAAAAAATAGTCTGGAATGATACGCACTTCCCAGGAAAAGGGTCGAGAGCTCCCGGGGGCGGCGATTCGACAAAAAAGCCAGTGTGGTCCTTGTCTGGGTGGTGAGTAGACCACCCCCCACCCCAAGATGTTCCTCAGACTCCCCACAGCCCCCCTCCCAACACCCAAAACATCCGAGAACATTTCAAAAACTTCAAACCGTCATCGCCCACATCCTCCGCCGCCCCCTGCACGCTGCGTACAAGTGCAGGTGATAAGTGTACTAAAGTTGCTACACAATTGCGAGCAAGCCTCCTACCAGCTGTGGCCAATGGCGCCACTGTAACTGGAGTCAACAACCAAGGGCTTGCAAATTTGCGCAGGACTGCTGGTACTTCGCTTGGTCGACCACCGGGGTTGCATGGTTTACCCTTTGTGCTGGCCACGTGTGGTCCAGCATATCATGTAACATGACCCTGTGCGTGCGTGTGGCCCCATTCTTCTGGACCTGCAAGACAACCTTACGATGCGATGCGATGCGATGCGACCACCTTTGCGGACAGCGTCCAGACCTACTCAAGACCTGGTGGGCGAGGCCGTGGCCTCGGGAATCTAGCGCATCTGGACAACATGCAATGCGAGACAAATGCGCAAACAAAAATTAGGAGGAGGGACGGAGGAAGGATGGTCCTTGGGGTCGGTCGTGTCAGCCTGTGCAAGACAGCCTTGGACGTCTCCAAAGAACGTGAGCTGTGTTGAATGAGAAGTTCTGCTAGAAGAAGACCTGGCCAGATGCCCGAGGAACCCTTGCAGTCGTCTATTTAATCCTGGATCGAATTGGGTGGAAGATGAGCTTAGAAACACGAGAACCGACGTTCACGACCATAACAATACCGCCAACCGATACAGATCCAAGCTAAGTCTGTCTTTGATATAGTCAGGCAAGGACTTGAAAGATGCCAAGGCAGGGGAATCGTGGAGCATCGTCAGTAGGTATGCTTTGGAGGTGAGCAGATTTGAATGAGAGTGGTGCGGAGGTGTAACGGAGGCAGCATGGCAACCTAATTGCATCCTAGATTGGCTGGCGCTGTGAGGGCGCTACGGTATGATGGCTGGGCGCGTAGCCTGCAGCAGCGTGCTGGCTATCATATTTCTACACACTGCCCGTGGTGTCAGGCTGACAAGGCCACCTGAGGGCACAGGTTGTTCGACAGCCCGAGTTTACACCAGGATTCATGGAACGAGGAATTTTCAGTCGGACACAATATTGGACTATGTGTGCCAGCACCTCAAAGACAACAACAATGTGTCGGGGATCGGTCCTCCAGACTGGGACTTACTTTTTGAGACGTGAGTTGGAATGCCAGTGTCCGACTGGTATGACGAAAACTGAGGACACGCTTTCCGACGAGCTCTGCTGAGACTGGGATCCCAACGGCTCTACATGGACATCTACCGCGTGTCCCGATGGACCAGGGTTGGTCAAACAGTGGCCAGACCTGGGAAGATGTGGACGGGAAGTTGCTGAGATAGATGGCAAGTTGGATGCCAATTCAAGGAGCATGTGCCACTTAGGGGCCTGACCCGGACAGAGGGACGAGCTGAGCATGTTGCTGTCCTCATGGCACTCCGCCGCCTCTCCGATGCGAAAGTGGTGGAGTCACGGAGTGGTTCGAAATCGAGTCTGATCTCCAGGCGAGGTATGCGTGCTGTATGTGTGAAGGTCGCCAGCATGGCGACAACGGCAAAATGTCGACCTGTGCCCAGCGTACAAGAAGATCGACAGCTTGAATAAACATCCATTGGAGTCATGTCAGTTGTACGTGTGCTGCTTTCTTTGCGAAATGGGGGACAATTCACCAAAGGGCTCCAGAAACGACCGTGAAGTCTTATGAATGCTTCGTTCAGGATTGTAGAATGCAGGCTGGATTTTCGCCTGGGCGGCAACCAAGATGGTTAACATGGACGGGCAATCTAGTCGGCCAGAGCGTTTCATGAGGATACAGGTCCATTGTTGTGGGGCTGCCGCACAGCAGAGGCTCAAGGCTCAGATGGATGTACGACTTGCAGGCGGCACCCCTTTACGGGAGGGATGCAGTCCAGGTGGCGATGAAATGTTCTGGCGCTGAGGCGAGCGGGCCCGAGTGGGTGCCAAAGCCGCCTGATGAAACCATCATCGGATTCAATGAGCACATGGTGGCTCCTACCAGACAGACAGACAGACAGACAGACAGAAAGACAGACTGACAGACGGACTGACAGACGGAAAGACAGACTCGCAGGTGTCCGCGGAGGGGCGGGGCCTATGAGGCCAGCGCGGGTGGGCTGGAGCCCTCCTTGAGTGCGGTCGGGTCGGCGTGTGGAGGTTAGGTGGGGGGTCACGCGGTGCAAAGTGTACGTGATCTGGCGTCGATGTTCGAGAGGTCAAATGCTGCTGGTGGGTGTTCGAGGTCGGTGTTGCCAGAAGTAACCGTTGATCGATGTGGGGGCGGCGTGGAAAGTCGGACGCTAGAAGCTGGATGTCGGAGTGCTGAACTGGTGTAGTCTGAACGTCGACAGATGGAGGTGGAAGTGGGATGTCACACGCTGGAGGTTGAGGTCGGAGTGCCGCGTAGGTGGAGGGCGGGGTCGATATTTGGAGATGTAAGTGGAACGGATGCTAGAGGCTGGAGGTCGGCCCAGCTGGTGTAGGCTGGAGGTCGCTAGGTGGTGGGGGATGTTGGACGCTGGAGGCTGGAGGTCGCGGCGCTGAATTGGTGGAGGCTGGAAGTCGGAAGGTGGTGGAAGTGGGAAATGGGATGTTGGAGGCTGGGGGTCGGGGTGTAAGAAAAAAAAAAAACAGGCTGAGGTCGATAGGTGGATGCGTGACGTCGACGCTGGATGTCGGAGGTTGAGGTGCTCCGCACGTGGAGGCTGGAGGTCGATAGGTGGAGGTGGAAATGGAAATGGAGGGTCGCATGCTAGCGGTGCGATGTCGAAGTGCTGAGCTGGCGGAGGCTGTAGGTCGAATGGTGAGAAGTGGAATTGGAAGGTCGGATGCTGGAGGCTGGAGGATCGGGGTGCTGAGCTTGAGCTGGCGGAGGCTGGAGGTCGGTAGGTGGAGGGATAGTTGGAGGTGGGCGTGGTACGTCGGATGCTTGGGGATAGAATTTGGAGTGACGAGCACGTGGAGGCTAGTGGTCGTTGGGTGTATGCGAAGGAAGTCGGAAGACTGAGCTGGAGCCAGGAAAACCGCAGAGGAACTGGTGATGTTGGTGACCTGATCGACGTAACAGCTCGGCGCGTCCATGTAGATGGGCTGCAACATGTGGTAGGAAAATTCAGGAGTCAGCGTGGCAACAACTGCCGCAATCCACAAATCGACGCATCTGCTGCAGAAGGTATTATCCACGATGGTCCCAACATTGTATTGTTGTTTCTGTGCCATGCCCCTCCACGGCGCGTCACCGTTGTCGCTTGGCTCACTGTGCAAATAATATTGGACGTTGTCATCTCAAAATTTCATTTGCCCACCATGTCTGCGGCAAGCTGATCGTGAGATGTGCATGATGGGATCCCATCTCGCGCTCAGACGCGTCCATCCATCGACATCGCGGTTGGCGATTCGTACTGCCAATTTCCATTCGCGCTTGGAATGCACATGTGTCCAGTCGACAACTTGCGTAGGTTTCGCAAGAGCCTCAGCGGCGGAAGTACCTCTCCGTAGGACATGATTCCATGTCGTCGTCGCTGTCTCTGTGGTTGGGACTGCATTGTCCTGTGGGGCAAGCGTCGGTGCTGGTGCGGGTGCTGGTGTCAATGTTGTTACTGTCGGCGCTGGTGGCGGTGCTGCTGTCGGTGTTCATTGTCTCCTTGGTGTTCCAATGACAAATCTCATAATGTTCTGCTGCGTCCGTCGCAATGTGATGAGCATGCTTCTCGCCAAGGTCAAGGATGGACATCCGTACATCCGCCACCGTGCCTCAGGGCACGGAGGGGGCGTGTCCTCAGGTCCTTCGCCGAATCCTCCAAGCCTCAATCCTCGTTCCTGAGGAGTCTTTTACGGAGCCCGAGCCCCAAAGTCCGAAATTCGGCGGGGCTTGCCGCGTGCCTCCTCGGGCTTCCCGCGTGCCCTCTGGCGGTGCACCCCGAGTTTTCCTGCTTCTCCTCCCACCTCAAAATCCACCCCAAAAACCACTCCTGGGGCCCGTGCTGAGCAGAATTTCGAAGTGGATCCAGCCGTGTCGGACGAGGACACCCTGAGAAAGCCAAAACTGAACAAACAAATAACATAAGAGAAACAAACAGAAACACTGAAAACCCAAGCAAACAAACAAACAAAAATGCAAGCAAACAAACAAACGAAAACCTGACAATCGATCCTCCCTCGCATTCTCCCCCTTCTAGCTCTCCCCCCCTCGAGAAGTCTCTGTAGGTGCCCAGAAGTCCCTGGCGGCTTCCAGAGGCACACAACAAAAGCAAACAAGTCCACGAAAGCCTTGAACATCGATCCTCCGCCTCCTCCTCCTCCTCCTCCTCCTCCTCCTCCCTCTCCTCCTCCTCGAACTCTCCTCCCCGACCGCCCTCCTTGATCGGCGATCCCGTATCCTCCCCCTCCTTGTCCTCGCCGTCCTCGATTCCCCCCTGCTCGATTTCCCCCCTGAATCCTCGATCATAACCCTCCTCGATCCTCCCACTCCTCCTGCCCCCGCTCTGCGGGGGATCCGCGGGCCGAGGGGGCGGCTCCGTGGCCGAACCACACCAGCGAAATCAGCACCGACACGAGCTGCCTCTCGCTGGATGACGAATCCCACGGATGACGACGGAAGCTGGATGTCGGACGCCGGACGCCGGACACCAGACGACAGATGCCGGACGCCTGACGATGGGCCACGGATGACGGACGGACGACGGACGACGGACGACGGACGACGGACGACGGACGACGACGGACGACGACAACGACGACGACAACAACCACGACGACGACGACGACGACGACGACGATGACGACCACGACCAGACGGCGGCGGTGGTGACGACGACGAACACGACGAACACGACGAACACGACGACGACGACGACAATGACAGCGGCGGCGGAAACATCTTCGAACTCAAGCCAGCGCATCGGGCGTTGAAAACTAAGACATAATGGCTACCACCATATCCATCGTTACTTTCGTACAAAGCCGAAACAAAACGTTGAATGGGTGCACGCTGAGGAATCTCAGAGAAACGACCCGGGAGCCTTGCCCAGCCCTTGCTTGGAAATGGCTCCCTGAGACCTCTTGAGGCGCACAGCCAACGCACCCCAAATGTGAGCTAAACGCACTCTCAAAAAAGGCGTGCGCCGAACAATCCCCAAGAAAAGTACGCCGCCGAGCGTTGCTCGGGAACACGATGAAATCAAAACCATCAATTGTTTACTGCATCACGCTCCGCCGAAGGCAGAGAAAATGCACCGAAGGACACGACTGGCGAAAACTGACCAACCACCCGAGGACAACAAACGCCGCCCAAGATGGCATCGTAGCATCGTAGAACAACTGCGGACTCACCATCAATATAACGTTCCTCCACCTTCCTCACGTTCCTTCTTCTTCCTCGTCAAACCCTTTCTCCCCCTCCTTCGCTAAGCCTTTCCGGTGAGAAAAAAAATGGCAATCAAAGAACACCTGTATTGGTCCTGCCGCGCCGTGGGTGAGGACGCAAACTGGTTTCACATTAAACCGCTTTTTTTGTTCCCAACCATCGTGTGGTGTTGGGCCTTCGTTTTGAACAGACAGCGCCCCGCGTCTCCTTCCTCCTACTATCTCCCTCCTCCCATCCCTTGCCTCGTCCCTCCACGTGCCTCTGTTTCGGGACACCCCTCACACGCGTCGTGACCCCATGGGGAGCACCACCGACAGCCCCAGTGGCAAGGTTCGCATGGCGGCCCGTTCCATGTCGGCGCACCCCCACACGATTTGTGGCCCCATAGGGAGCTCCACCGAAGGCCTCAACGGTAAAGTTTGCATGGAGCTCCACGGAAGGCCTCAACGGTAAAGTTTGCATGGCGGTCAAGCCCAATTTCGGCGCACCCATCACACGCTTCGTGGCCCCAAGGGGAGCTTTACCGAAGACGCGGGTGGCAAAGTTCGCATGGCGGCCCCGCCCTATTTTAGCGCACCCTTCACACGATTCGTGGCCCCATCGGGAGCTCCACCGAAGGCCCCAGTAGCAAAGTTCGCAAGGCGGCCCCACCCCCTTTCGGCACACCCCTCACACGTTTCGTGACCCCCCATAAGGAGCACCACTGAAAGCCCCACTGGCAAAAATTGCATGGCGGACCCGGCCCATTTCGGCGCACCCCTCACACGCTTCGTGGCCCCATGGGGAGCTCCACCGAAGGCCCCAGTGGCAAGGTTCGCATGGCGGCCCCGTTCCATGTCGGCACACCCCCACACGTCTTGTAGCCCCATAAGGAGCTCAACTGAAGGCGCGGGTGTCGTCGAAGTTCGCATGGCGGCCCCGCCAAATTTCGGCGCACCCTTCACACGCTTCGTGGCCACATATGGAGCTCCACCGAGGGCGCGGGTGGCAAAGTGTGCATGGTGCCCCCGCCTTCATTTTGGCGCACCCCTCACACGATTCATGGCCCCATAGGGAACCCCACCGAAGAGGTACCCATAATGCGGTACTCACAACTGGATATCTCTGGGCCCTTCGCTCGGATAAGTGCCCCCCGCGAAAGCATTCGCGCGCAAGCTGCCTGCAACAATGGGGCGGAACGCGTACTAAAATGCAAACATGCATTGTATCATAGCTTGTGGGCCAAACCCATTGATACACGGAACACATCACATCGAATAGTCCGAAAAGAAACGATGCTCACAACAACACGCCTTAGCGAACACGGCCGTGATTCGATGTGGATTTGGTGGTGCTGCAGGGAGTACATGGAGATTTCATGGGCAGTTGCTCCTTGTTCGGCTGTGATATCGAATGGATGTCGCGGGGAGCCGACGTGCGACGCGATGCTTTCGGACCCCCATGGATTCGGTGTGCGGGCACGGCGTGGCGGTGTTGTGGTGATTTCGTGAAAATGTTCTGCTGGTGGGAATTCCGCTGGGATACCGAGATGATGGTGTGGGGTTATTGTCGCAAGGTGGCCCCGATAACCATAAAATGATAGAAGCTATGGTAGCTGATGATTGCGATCGTGACGATATGACGAAACAGCTTAGCATGACGATTTTTCTGCACAGCGACTCGGTGATTCTCAAAGTGAACAACGACAGAGGGGGAGACGGTATAGTGTGCAGAAGAAGGAAGGGGAAGGAGGAACTTTCGGGAGGAGCAAGAGGGAGGGATAGCGAGGAGGAAAGGGGGGAGGAGAAACAGAAAGGAACACATGCACTGGAAGATATGCACTGGAAAATTTACGCGGCAATGCAACTGGACTTGGCAGTGGCGCGTCGATGATGACAGGCAGGGCGGCTCAAGATAGGTGCGATTAACGATAAACGCATAGGCGGAAACAAACTTTCTACGTCGCAGCGCGGCAGTCAAGCGGGCGGGGAAACGGCAGACGCGAACTGTCCGGCGGCAGGAGGCAGGTGAGAAAAGGCGAGAACGGCCGCGGAGGAGGGAAAAGGGGACAGAGAGCACTCACAGGGCGAGGCGCATCGCCTTGGCACCCAGGCACTGGGCGCGGGGCGGCATCACGGCCACACCCAGGGCTGGAGCAAAGGCTGCAGTACGCTGAAACAAACAAGCGGATGAGGTAATGTAGCACAGAGAGATGACGACGTGAAATGCCATGTTCGAAAACGACGCCGAGGTGCCTATAGCCCCCAGCGCTATGACAATACGCACCAAATCGGTCCGACGAGCCGATCCGAGGCTTTCTGACAGATCAGAACTATTTTACGCCATCGTGGCTGACGCGCTCCCTGAACAGCTGGTATTGGTTGCCCCGTATCAAACCTGCGTTTGGCCACTGTTTGGGCCACGTTCGGGGAGCCCTCCCACGCCAGCCAGAGGGGGCGACGTCCTTGCGAAAGCGGGACTGGTGCTTGTCTGAAACGCTTCAGTGCGCGTGCGCCGAAAAGAAGAAGTCGCGTGAAATCCCCACACATTTTCAACACCTTTTTCGAATTAACCTGATCAGGCTTGACTACCTGTATCTGGTGTGCCCCGTTTAAAACATATCCACAAGGGCGGTTACCGATTGTGTCCCGGTTCTGCAGGACTGCAAAAACTTGAAAACCACTCGCCGCATCCGACCCGTACTTTGCCGACGACAAGCCACTTCGCCAAAGGTGTTGTCATGAATTGGTTTCGACTGCCAGACGTTCCTAGCAGCAGCGCGCTCGTCCAAATGGCCGGGCGGCGATGAACAGAACACTCTGGTTGTCACCGTTCGCTCCAGTCGAAATCTCAGGTTGGAAGTTTTGTCTCTGGGGGCGACCGACAAACACTATTGGATCGGCATTGGCAAAGGGCACGCGGTCCTGTCTCGCAATTCGGTAACGCTGCACAGCGGAAGGCCATCTTTGCAGTCGGCACGGCAGACTGCAACGATATCCCATAACAGCAGCGGCCAGCATGCAAATCAACCGTGGTACCGCAAGCGCAACCAAAAGCAGTCGGAAAGCCACCAACAATTACAAACGATCGGATTAGCTTTACCGATGCGGCGATCACCATATGAACCAAACTGTTCGAGTGATAGAACGTTTTGGGCCCAAACAGGTACTGAAAGTAGTACCCAAACGTGTTATGATGGTTGCTGGGGCTCTCCGAAGCTGTATTGAATTTTTCGGGATGTTCCAGGGAGGGGCAGAATCAGGAAGAGGGAGAGAGAAGGGACGAGGATAATAAGAAGAAGGAAGGACTGAGGGAAAGGAGGAGGAGGAAGAGGAGAAGGAGGAGGAGTGTTGGAAATGGCACAAGGAAAACGAAGGGGATTAGAACATTTGGGGAGGAAGAGGAGGGTGCGCATGTAGGTTTACGACCAATGACCCCGTAGGTAGGGGTTGGAAAGGAAGAGCGTCGCGAGTCCTTTTTTTTTTGTTCCTAGGCGCTGCGATGGAGGCGGCGCGGGATGCCATGCCAATGCCTGAGCCGATGCGTCAGCGGTATCTAAAAATATGATGGTGAAATGAGCGGGTTTCACACGCGCACCCCGCCCCGAAAACCGCCCGCCCCACGCAGGCCTCGGGCCCGCGGGAGGCGAAGGCGGGGCTCGGGAACAGAGGTGTGTGGTCCTCTCAAAACACCGTCAGACCCACCGCACCTCCAAACGAGGTCGCTTCGGCTGGGAAGGAGAGAAAGGGAACCAACCCCGCTACGTAGGGTACCTAAGGGAGTCTGCCCGTCGGTGGCGGGCCCAGAATGCGCCCCCAAAAAACGTCGGCAGGCCTGGACGACTCCCCGTCACCACGGGTGACGGAACTGGGAAAGCAAGAGAGAATCGAGCAAGCGGAAAAACAACGCCGCGTCAACGAACGCGAGCGTTTCCACCGGCGCACGGCGCACGGGAATACGTGCGCAAATCAACTGCAATGCAAAAAAGACGATGGATCAGAAGCCAAAAAGCTGTATCACTCCCGGGGCATTCCAGGCCCAAGTTCATTTTCAGGGCTCTCCAAGCCCGAATTCACTGAATACGAATATCGAAATTGAGATACCAACTGATCTACAAGGTAACGTAAAACGCATGATGTGAGGCATCTGACATATTAAAAAAATGCGGCCTTCAAGACAGCGCATATACGTGGCGAATCGCAAATGTGATGAAAATTATGCGGCGCATATGTCGTACTCTGTACTTCCGACTTCCTCAGGACGAATACGGCACCAAACTTGATGACGTTGTTGGCAGGCGACCGCCAGGGTGCTTTTATGCGCTGAGTGCCATGCGATGATAAACGAGGCGATGTCAACAGAGATGCAGAATTCAATCTACGGATATGGAATGTTGAGTACTTCTCAGAAAAAAATCAATATCAGTGTTACCGAAAACGAATATATCCGATAATACAATCATGCTAATCAAATCAACGAAACCTCTGGAAGTCATAGCAGCTGCTGCCCCAGACGCGATTACCACTGCCATCGAACCAGCCAGTCGCACGGGCACTGTTCTAGTCGATCCAAATGCACTCGCAGTCATTCTCGTCGACGTAGATCCCACCTTCCAAATGGCACGACCAGTAGCGGCACGCGCTGTGCTGGCAATGCTTCGCGCCGTCACGCCACCGCGCCTCAGCGCGGCGCTTTCGCGCGGCACTGCGGCTGCACTCTAGATGCGTCTGCGCAGCAACGCTCGACACGGCCTGCCCCTGCAGCCTCCGCCGCGGCGGTGTCCGCGGCCTTCTTGCGCCCGGTGCAATCGGGGTAGCCGGGGCAACGGCGCCGCCTCCAGCCCGCCCAGCGCCGCGGGCAGGGCCGCCGGAGGACGCCGCGCCCATGGAAGGCGCATCGCGGCGCGGGGGTGGAGGCGCAGGAGGTGGAGTGGGGGCGCGCGCTGGCGACAGAGGCAAAACCCTTGCCCCCCTCGCCCTCCCGGGCGCCCCCTCTCGGGACCTCCGCGCGGAGATCTGCGCGCGCAACGCGGTTCATGGCGCCTTTTCCTTTCCCCGAGGGGGCGGGGAGGTCACGGGCCCGCGGTCGAAGCGCTCCGCGCTGCCCAATGCGCCGGAGGCTTCAATCTCACGGCCAGCGCAGCCTTTCGCCGCGCTAGCGGCGTAAATGTCCATGGCACGACGAGCGTCTTCAAGCATGAGGGGCCTCTGGCCGCTGTTCATCCTGAATGCGGTCATCTGTTCGCAGAAGACGGGGCGTTCCTGGCGCGGAAGGGCGACGTTAGCGCGCGGGTGATACGCGCGGCCCTCGGCGGCCTCGGGGTCGACACCTGCGCCGGCCAGCCGACGCGCTCTGGCGGAGAGAGATCCCTTGTCGGCCCATTTGCGATACAGACTCTCGGCTTCCTGGGCGAGCTTGCGGAGGAAGCCCCAGTCCTGCGTAACGTCGGAAAGCGCGCCCATGAATCGGATGGAGATGTCGTCGCGCATGATTTGAGTCACAACCTCTCGACTCAGGTTGGCCCGCGCCCACGCGTTGACGCCGGCGACGAATTCTATCTGAACCTCCCCGACATCGCCACGGGCGATGGGGCGCCTCGCACATTTTGCGCGTGCGGCCGCGATAGTGGTCGGGGGGGTCGCGGCAGCAGCGGTCGCAGCGCTGCTTCGCCGCCTGAATGCCACGGGCGCCTTCCAGGACGAGAGCCCCCATACGGCTGCGGGCGTTTTCGCCGGCGCCCAAAGATCGACCGAGGTGGCGAAGTGCCCGATCGGAGATCGAGTGAGCGCTATCGATGGCGAGATCGCTTGCCAGAAAGTCCTATCCTTTTCCAGTCACCTGATCGGAAATATCACCTGCCGACTGGTTATCGCGAGACTGGCGTGCGGAGGCCGCGCCAGCGTGTTCGGCGATAGTGTACCCGGCCGTTGCGATGAGCACGAGATCCTTGCCAACATTTCCCCGATCTTCCAGGCGCCCGTCGGAATCTGCCCGAAGGACCTCCATTATCTGCTGCTGGGCGGGGGTAGCAGCAGAAGCAGCGCTGCCTGGGTCAGGACCAGGGCCTGGAATAACAGAAGGGTGCGGAGAGCAATCGGCGTCAGCCTCCGAGACGGGAGGTTCGAGTCGGAGCGCGTCGGTGGCGCCCGCGTCCATCGAGTCGCCCATTGGGAAATCAGACTGCAAGTATCTCTGGAATTTTTGGAACTTCTCATCGGTTGCCACTGTGTCTTCCCCGAGCTAGCGCAAGGTAAGAAGTGCGGGGTGATTCGTGTGGATGTCAACTTGGGATGTCCCAACCAAGCTTCTATGGCATTGTTCAGAGTCGCCACGCATATGCGGGGGTCCAATGAAATGAAACGACATCGCTATCGTCTTATAATCCAGATTCCTATTCAACGCGCGTATGCCATGGCTACAAATATCTGGTAGCTGCTGCGGTGGTCAAACCTCGTATTCAAGCACTCCATACCAGCGTTGAACCGACCATCGATGTTAATATAGGCTGCACACGAAAATTTGACGCCCACGCACTTCGCGGCAAAGACCTGCTTGACTTCGCACATCAACGTGTTCAGTCGTGAGGCGCAGGCGCCATCTTTCTTGGCTGCCTCGAGGAAGCCAGCAGGATGGGGTGTCGAATGGCGCTTCAGGAAGGTCGAGGATCGGGAATATGGCCAGGGCCCTCTCTTCGTCAGCTTTGACGGCCTGATCGCCACCGCGGTCTGCATCCGCAGGGTTGTCGCGAGTTGCAAGTGTTTGCACCAGCGCATCATCGACTGTGTCACGGTCTGGGGCACCATGATGCTTACCCAGATCGTAGTCAGAGAAATTGGTAATCATTGTCTGGGGCAGATCAGCGCGAGGACGAACCGCGAGCCTGAATCCAGACTGATCATTACCACGATCATCGTACCAGATGTTGACCCAGAAGGGTCCGTAGCCACGAAGTGGGATCTGAACGGCGACGCATGGTCTGGCGCGCTGTATGTCCACGACAGGTCCGAAGAGCTAGCCCGTCACCAAGATCAAGGCGTCTTGTCTGGTGGCAGGCCACGGGGCGTTGACAGCTCTGCACGGAGAGGTGCCACATGGACGCGCGCAGATGAAGTCGCCTTCCTAGAGATTACCGCATCTGGGGGCTCGCTGCCAGCAATCAATGGGCAGCTCCGCAACAATCGGCTGGAAGTATTGCTCTCTGCAGTCCTGCGCTGAACTCCACCATGCAATGCTGCTGGGTATTTATGCGATCTCCTGCTGTGTCTAGGTCGGTGGGTTCGCATTATGTTGGGATGCGGCTGTCTCCGCCGGCATCGGCTTCGGTGGGCTCGCATCCTGCCAGGGCGCGGGTGTCTCCACTGGCGCAGGAGCGTCTGCGAAGTCGGCGGAAGCGGCCATATATGTCTCCAGGCGAAGAACGTCCAGTGCGCCAGCTGCGGCATCGTTCAGGAGTGGCTGCCCGCGCGGGCTGAGCGACGTTAGGCGGCGTCGCAGGCGGCGGGCGCCTCGCAGTCGGGGGGCCGCCTGCAAGGGCCGCGGATCTGCGGGGCTTGGGCACGGGAGTCTGCGCGGAGGCTGGCGCCCGCGGCGTCGACGTTGACTTCGGCGCGCGCGTCGCCGCGGGCGTTGCCACCGGCGCAATTTCACAAACTTCGCACTGACCCCGTGGCTCAGGGAGCTTCTCCAGCGGAAGGTAATTCCACGATGCGCTGCGCCCGGGGTCAAGGATCCGTCCTCCAGCGGCGTGGATCGCAAGGATGGCGCCACGCGGAATTGCCCGAAGGCGCACGATTGCGCCTTGCCCCCCAAGCACGCGATTGCGCCACTCGGGCAAAATGATCCATTTATCCACGGGGTCGATCCGACCGCCACCGCGCGGCAAGGCCTGTCCACGTGCTCCGGGGGCATCGCTTTGCCCGCCGTCGCCGCCGGGCAGCCGCGCAGTGGCGCCGCATAGCTTGGAGGCCCAAATGCGTGAGGCACTGGGTGCGTCGTCGGCAGAGACGGCGGCCGGGCCGCTGTCGCCTGTCACGTCGTCGCCCTGCACCCTGGCGCCCCGGCGGCAACTCGGCATGTTTGACATGTGGGAATTCGACGATGTGGGCGAAGAAAGCCGTCTTGGATTCCTTCTTTGCGTCGCGGACAACATCATCGCGCCCCATGACCGCATCGAGCATCCATGTCTGCTCCTTTTCCAATCGCTCGCATTGCTGACGGAGCGCGCCCTGTCCTCGCGGCTCAGCCGCGCCTTCCTCCTCGGCAAGATTGCGCGCGACGAGGTCGCGGGTGGCGATGCGGGGCCGCCCCCTGTGAGTCGAGTCGAATGCGCTTCTACGTTCCTGATGGTGGTCAGACATGCGCGCCATTATAGGTCCAAGACCGTATTTGTCCGACGGCGCATGCGAGCGCGCAGCGCTCGCGGGGTCTGCCCCCGGCTGCGGACGGCGGCGCAATACGGCGATGATGCCGCGTGGTCCGTCAGGAAGAACAGCGCGAAGCACGCCGTTGTCGGTGACGCCCTCCGTCTGCGGCGATCTCGGGCCGCTGATAGACGCGGGCAATCCCGGCCCGGGGCTCACTAAGGCGGCGGCCGCCGCTGCCACTGCCGCCCCGCACGTCGAGGAAACATTTTTCACCCTCAAAAGGGGACGCGGTCTCGAAGTCGCGGATGACATCGAGCTTGTCCAACAGGACGGGGCCCGCGATTACGTCGCCTGTAACGCGAAAAAACTGCGCGCGAGGTGTTCGGATGCGACGCAGGATAGCCTCGCCGCGTCGTTCCCAATATTTGAGCCCAGGAGCTGGAACCGCGCGCCCCGGCGCCGCGGGGCGGACTGGCTCGGGGGGCCGCGCTCCGGAGCCAGAAGCTTCGGGAAGGTCAAATTCGGGAAGCTTCGAAGCACCGAGGTCGCCCCACTCAGCTGGGCGCAGCTAGATCGGGTCGTCTTTGACGGTTCCCCCAGTTGGCGGGATGTTTGGAAAGAAATCAACTCATGCGCTTCTGGGTTGCGGCGTCGAAGGAGACCTTCATTGACGGGGAAAACACATCTCCCCCCAGGGGTCGCGATGATCTTGACACGACGCACATGGCAATGTCCCCCATCGGGATGTCTGGCGCACGCAGCCGCGCCAATAAAGATATAGTCACAAAACCAACGCCCACCAGAGCGACGATGGCACCCCACGAACAATCCCTCTCGCGAGATCTCGTCGAACTTCGCCGCGAGGAGTTTTCACATAACAAAAAATCGAGTATCAAAATAGGCAACGTGCCCCTTGAAGGATTCTCCGACACGAACCTCATGCGATGTGTAGTCCGCGTACGCTTCTCGTGGGGCAGCAGCGCCATGGCACGGTCGAGCGGTGAAGTTGCGGCCACAGCAACATGCCTGCATAGCTTGTCTCCACCATTCGTGACCCAGGCCAGAATTGTGGAGCGCCCAGATTTTCGGAAGTGTAGGTTGGCAGTTGGCAGAAGTCACCTCGACCTGAGTACGAAGCGCATTGGCGTCCTCGTGGAATTTTGATCCGTAGGTCCGTTGGCATACCACCATAGCTGGGACCTGCCGCGCGGTCAGGAGCTCATCGCGCAGGGTTCTGACGGCGGCAGTGCCCGGGCCCCCGACGACCACGAGTTGGGCCTCCACTCGGAGGAGGTAGTCGTGGAGCGTCTGGATTGCAGTGAAGTCGGAACCTCGGTGTGACTCCATCCGGTCGGCTCGATACTGGACTTGGGTAAGGACCGATCTATCTTCAGCGATCCGAACGTCGACCAAAGCAAGGGCGCGGTGTAGCTGTTGCCTTACCGGTGCTGCGTGAAAGTTTCAACCTGGTGACGAAGCTCTGCCGCGTCACTGGCTGAGGGCGATGCACTCGATATACCATCGCGCCGCACGGAGCCTTGCAGGGAGCGCCTGGGAGAGGGGTTGCGGCTATTTTCCCTACTGGGAGATTGGATGCGATACCGCTCTGGAGCCCTTCGCTGGGATGTCCGTCCCGCGCGATCCTCAATAACACGCACGAGTTCAACATCAGAAACGATCGTGGGGGACATGGTTTTGGCCCAGCAGCGGAGTCGCGCGAAAGCGTTGTCAGGAAATGTTTATATGGCGCCGCCGCTGCGGGCGTTTCCACCGGCGAAAGTTGGAGAAGAAAATGGAGCCGAGTCGAACCCAGCGGTAACTCCGAGGTCAAGTTCTGGTGTTCACACCGGCGCACGGGCACAATCAAAGGCGGCGCCAGGAAACGTGTTGGACGCATCAGGCGCCGGAGCTTGATGTGAGGGCCAAAGCGTGTGTGGATGCGCGCGCGGGCAGCGGTGATGGCGAATGAGCTCGCCGAAAGCTGCCCACAAGCGACGCAGTGCTGCCGTCGCCTGAAAAATGGGAAGGCGGTATCACGGAAAGCGGTATCACGGATTCTCTTGCCATTTCCGTAGGGTTGCTGCGCCCACGCTCAGTCGAAGACCCTGCACGCATATAAGCACCGTCCCCCGTGGGGTCCAGAGCCAAGCGGCGGAGCCAAAGACGAAGCGGAACGCGACAACGGACAGCGTAAAATAATAGGCTGAGAACCTGCGCATGTAGATTACAGGCAGAACATTGCGCACAGGACACGCGACAGGACACAAGACTATTCCGACGGCAACATGGCCTCCAAAACCACAGGACACAAGGGTACCCTGCCGATGCCGCGACCGCGGTTACCCGCGGTCGACCCGCAGCCCCGCGACGGGTGGCGCACGCCGGACAGGACGCCAACGGTATCCGACTGGCCGCGCCGCTCGCCGTGTGAAAAATCTTGCGTGGCGCATCGCCCGCGCCCGCCCCCCTTCCGGGGCGATCGCGCGACCTGTCGCCATGGTAGAGGACCAGTGAACCAGGGCGCGGCCGCGGACGTCGCAAACGAGAGGGCGCGCAGACCACCCTCCCGCGGGAGAGCGACCTGTCGCCAGGGGAGAGGACGAAAGGACATGGGCGCGGCCGCGGACGTCGCAAACGACAGGACGCGGAGACCACCCTGCCTCGGGAGAGCGACCTGTCGCCAGGGGGGAGAACCAGAAAACATGCGCGCGGCCGCGGACGTTGCAAACGAAAGGACGCGGAGACCACCCTTCTGCGAAACGCGAACTCCCGCATGACTCCGCCAAAACTGCGCCTTCACAGCAGCTCCCAGGAGCCCGCAAAAGGCAGGACGCCAGGGTGCCCTCTGCGCGCCCCGCGACCTCTGCCCGACTGCGACGGTGAATGAACTTGCAGGGCTGGGCAAGTACAGGACACAAGGGTACCCTGCTGCGTGGAGGCGACTTGGAATCAACGCGTCGTTGGTGCACAAGCGGCGCGCCCGAGCTCAGAGGACATCGCAGAGTAGACCCTTCGCCGCGGCGCCAGCGGCGCGACGCTGAAACCACGATCGTACCCCGAAGCCAACTGAGCCCCCAAATCCGAGAGGACACCTAGGTACCCTAGACCAGGCCGCGACCTCCCCGCGACGCGACGCGCCCAGAACGCCGCGGGCCAAGCCACCGATACCCGCGGAAACCACAAGACGCAAGGATACCTTGCCCCTGGGCTGCAGAGGACACGACACGCGATGCACAGGACACAAGAGTACCCTTGATTTGGCATGGTCGACCTACTAATCCGGGCCGCCTGCAACGACCAAAGAGTCGAACCTACACAATATCCCGCAGGTAGAGGTAGGAAACGAAGAGGGTCGCGAGTCCTTTGCCAGGGAGCTGCGATGGAGGCAGCGCGGTATGCAATACCAATACCTGAGCCAACACGTCAGCAGTATATAATGGTATAACGGTGATATGAGTGGATTTCAAACACAGGGGAGGGGATAGAGGATTAAACAAAGACTCAAGACTCATCCGGCAGTGACCGTGCGAGGCAGGCGGAGGAGGTCGGCGAAGATTCAGAAGCGTGGGGGGTGCCTACCCACCGACGGGGGTAAACCTCTCCTCGTCGGCACTACACGCCCGGGGGTTGAAGCGCCTTCGGCGCGCGATGGTTGTCTGCGACGGGTCGGCTTGGGGGTGTCGGCACGGGTGGCGACCCCCCGCATCCTGACCACGCTCGCGACTGGCCAAATCATTGGGGGCACAATTCGGGGATCTCCCCATCCTCGCGAGGGATACGCCCAGATAGCCCCCCGGATAGCGTCCCCGAGTTCCCCTCTTCACTAAACGAACAGTTTGCTGGGGAGGGGGAAACTCGAGGACTGGGGGCGAGAAATCGCCCGTAGGAACTGCGCTTTGGCAAATCTCTGGGCCCTCCAGGCTCCCTCGACGGCAGCTTTCCATGCCGACGGAGGCCGCGGAAGGCTCCCTGCGGGCCCTCCGCAGACGCTGGAGGACAGGGAGGGCGCACCCGGAGGCCCAGCGGCGAACCGCTCCCTCCACACCAAAGCGGCGGGGCCGGTGCCGCGCGCGGCACCGCGCGACACCCCGGGGCGGTGCCTGATGGTCATGATCCAAGTGAAGGCCAGGGGGCCCAAGACCTGGGGGGGCACGGCAGCCGAGCTGGGACGGCCCACCGAGTGGCGGCAAGCGCGGACCACACGGGCAGCGGGATCCTTTCTCTCTCTCTCTCTCTCTCTCTCTCTCTCTCTCTCTCTCACACACATACACCGTCACATTTCCTCCTCCCCTCGGTCCTGCGCTCCCTCTCACCACACTTCCCCCCTGTCGTCTCGTCGGTTCCTCCCTCCCCTTCCCTCCTCTCCCAACCCCATTGGCCCCTCTCATCCCGTCCCCTGCATTTCCTCGTCCTTGACGGGGAGCCAAAGGGGCGGGGCCAGGGAGCATCAATCAGTCCAAGAAAGGCCCCCAGCCTCTTAGAAGGTGCCAGAGAGGGAGGGACGGTTTTGACAGGTAGACCCCTCCAAGAAGCTCCCTGCCTCCCCAGCAAGCTACACCCCTAAACCTGCCCCCTTCACTCGCCGCATACCTCCGCTCCCTCGAGACATCTGACATACTGGGAAAGGAAGGGGAAGCAATAATATCCTATACAGAGCCAGTCTGGCGCTCCCGACCCCATCTTGCTGCGGAATTTCTCTAGCGTCAGGGTCCGAGGGGGACCTGACAAGGGGCCAAAACGCCCCTCGTCTTCTGTTGTCTCACATCGCCTGGACGGCAGGGCCCTCTCTTTCCCGATCCTCCCCACTGGACCAGAGGAGCTCAGGACGGCAGCTACACTCCGATACTCGCTCTGGCTGGGCCCAGAACGGGCCTACCCAGCACCGGCGCTGGTGCAGCGCGGCCGCGGAAGCCCGATCGGAACTCTCTTTCTGCCCGCGACCGCGCGGGCGGAGCCCCACCCGCGAGCACGGCGGGGCCGGCGAGATCAGCGCGCGGGCGGCGACGGCGCCGCCGCGAGCCGCGAGCCCGACTGCTCCCAGCACCACCGACGGGCAACGGGGCCTCCGAGCGCAGAGGGCCTGCGATGGCGCCTCCGAGGGCGTTGCGCAGGGCGCGCGCGCGCGCCGGGCGAGCCGATCGCCGCTCGCGCGGGCAGCCCGTCGGTGCCCACAGCTGCCGGCGCCCGCTGCTCCTCCGCGCCAGCGGGTGGCTGCGGGGTCGAGCGGTCCTCGGCGGGCGGGGGTGGGCGGCAGGCGTGGCCGTGGCGGCCATGACCCTTCCCCTGCGCGTGGCTGGCGGTGCTGGGTAGCGGGCACCAGCGGCCCAGGCCCGCGCACGGCGGCAAGGGGTCCGCCAGGGGCGAGGAGGCCTGCTCCTCGAGGACCCCGCCGCTGCCGGCTGCCGCCGGCGACCGCTCCGCCGCAGCTGAGGGTGTGACGGCAACGGCAGCGGCTGGCTGGCGCCCGCACCGCCGTGCTCCAACGCCTCCCTGGGGGGTCCTCGCACTCGCTGTTGCAGCATGGCCGCACACCGCACACCGACCGATTACAGCGCAATGTGTCAGACTTGTGTTCTGGGATGGCCGCGAACGGGGATTATTGTCCGACTTCGGCGCGCTCCGAACCGAGTGGAAAGCATTGAATGTCTGCTCCGAGGAGCTCCTCTGGCACGTCGGCTCATCCTGCGGGGAGAGCAAGATTCCAACACCGCGACTCCCCAGACCTCCTGGGGTGCGCTCTGACCAGAATTTCGAGGAGGATCCAGCGCGAGGGCTCTCCAGGACGAGCAGCGGCATCGGTATTTTTTCCTCCATTGACATCCTGTCCGCAGCGCCCCGCCGCAGGCTGGTACGCTGCCCCCCGGCCGCCGCTGACCACCGGCTGGGGCGGCGGGCCCCTGCGCGAGCCTCTGGCGCGTCAGTCCTTGGGGGGGGGGGCATCATGGCCCGAGGCATGTGCGCAGACAGGGGGGGACAGGGGACGCCTCAATAGAAGAAGAAGAAGACGAAGACGACGATGACGACGATGAAGAAGACGACGAATAAGAAGAATAATACGAATCAGAAAAACAACGACGAATGATGATAAGGAAACTCATAAACTATATCGTAACGAGAATACGATACATGAATCGGAAGAAGCAGAATATGAATATGAATAACAATGCGTAAGAGGGGTGGGCATGAAATCTGGGAGATTGTCCTGGTCATGAAGCCCACACACTGCTAGCCCTAGTCCTCACCCCTTCTTACGACCATGTCTTGGGTCCCTGGCGGGCGTTCGGGACGGTCCTGGCACACCTGGGGCGTTCTCGGCGAGGCGCAGCTGCTGAAAAAGCATTCCGAGG